GTAGGTAGATCCTGACAGATAGTAAATGGGGTTCTGGAGGTAGGGTGGGAAAGGAGGTTGTGCCATAGAAAAGTTAAGAACTATTGGCCGACATGGATTAGGATTACTTAGGACACCTCAATCCATTCCTTTGGGCAGTTCATTTGAAAAGTTTGCGCTAACATTTTTTAGTGCTGATGTTGTGTCTCTCCTGTGGATCTAGTCACCTATGCCCTGAAACCTCACCACAGTAGCTATTTATACTCTATGCGTGTGTGTGTCACCCACAGATAATCTTCTGGTCTCACTGGGAAGAGCCCTGTTCTATCATCCTAAACCACAGAGCTGCTGTTCACACAGCAGCCCAGGGCTTTAGCACTATTATCTAAAATGATTTGATGCCATTGTTCTTGTATCCAAAATGAAGAAGAAGAAGAACAATCATAAAAAGCAAGAGAACATTGGTTTCTTTTTTCTTCCTTTCCGTTTCCTTGATGTTTCATGGTTTGGCCAGCACCTCACTATTTTTTCCTTTCAGTTGCTACCATACAGCTTTTTAAACAGACCTCTTTGGAGCTGTTTTTTGATGCCTGGAGTACTTAAGCCAAAGATCTGTTCATTTTTTCCTGGCAGCAGCTACTTGACAGAGAATAACGTTAAATATAACTTTTGGTTCTCTGAGACTGCATCTTCGTTTTTCTCGATTAGAAGAATCAAGCTAGTTAGACCTCTACAGAATGCACAACCCTATAGAATGGCAATAAGTGACCTGGCACATGTTGAGATATTAAGAACAGATTTGTCAAAATTGGGGCCTAGAACGGGGCATGGAAAGCCATGTTTAGTGGCTGATTTTTCAAAATTCCTGAGGATCCGCATCTGCCACTAACTTCAATGGGACTACTTGTACTCAACGGCTTATAAACATCAGACCACTTTTATTTAGGTGCCAAACTTTGGGCTCTCCACAGAGACAATACTGGTCTTAGTATCTTGATGCCTGGGCGGTCGCTTGTGGCTACTCTGACCTGGAGCTGGAGAATTGTGCTCACTGAGATCTAGCTGGGCTGGGGAAAGCTGGAGGTGGCATGATGAACATCCTGCTAGCCTAAGAGCACTGGTCTCTACATCCTATTGCCTCTCCCCGGAGCTACCCATTCTTCATCCTCCTCTTCCTCCATGTTTGATTTTAATACCATGCTTCTCAGATGGGTCTCTGTTTAACATAAGCTCTATTTCAGTACTGAAAGAAGATGATGAAGGAGACTGGTGGAATCTTTGCAGACCTCCTTTTGAGAGTCTAATTCCAGCTGATGTCTAACAGAAAATCCAGCCACAACTGTATAATGTCTTATGGCCCTGTCAGGACATGTGTCACTTTAGATTGTCTTTTATTCCTATCTCAGATGAAGATTTCCCACTAGTTCCTACAGCTGCAGTTACAAATCGTAGGAATGGCTACAAATTGATACCAGCACCTTATTGGTAACAGGGCAAGTGAAAGTTCAAGAACAGAATCAGAGGGGTAGCCAAGTTAGTCAGTAGTCACAAAAACAGCGAGGAGTCCGGTGGCACCTTAAAGACTAACAGATTTATTTGGGCATAAGCTTTCGTGGGTAAAAAACCCACTTCTTCAGAAGCATGGAGTGAAAATTACGAATACAGGCATAAATATATATTGGCACATGAAGAGAAGGGAATTACCTTACAAGTGGAGAACCAGTGTTGAGGGCCAATTCAGTCAGGGTGGATGTGGTCCACTCCCAATAATTGATGAGGAGGTATCATAAATCTGTTAGTCTTTAAGGTGCCACTGGACTTCTCATTGTTTTCAATAACAGAATGAAGATTTGACTCTCCTAACATGTGGAAATAATAATCCAATTTTGGACCTCTATAGTAACTTTCTTCTGAGGATCTCAAGATTAAATCCCAGCATGCATTAATTAAGCCTCACAATGTCTGTATGAGACAGGTAAGCATCAGTATATTCACTATTCAGATGGGAAACTGAGACAAAGATTTAAGTCATTGGCAGGGAAAGGGACCCAGGATTCCTGACTCCCAGTCCTCTCCTAATAAATGATAAAATAAACAATAATAATAAAGTAATAATAATAAACAAATGATTAGCTCTTATATAGCACTTTTCTACTCAGTGTTTTACTGAGGATGGCAAGTATCATGTTCCCTGTGTTACTGATACAAAAAGACTGAGCTATAAAGCGGGGAGGGGACTTGCCAGAGGCCAACCCAGGAATAGGACTCCTGAATCGCTGTTCAGCACTCTACCTAACAGACTGTGCTGCACAGGAAGCCTTAAGGTGTCTCATTGCAGATAAGCCTGTGTCACTCCATGTTCTGGACTGCGCTAAGGGCTCAATAAACCACCCTTATTACTAATCCCTCTTGCGTCTTCCTTCAGCTGGAATCCTGGTGTCACCACTCCAGTGAGGCTGATTTTGCCTAACAATGGGGAAATCCTGGGTTTCTGGGCAAGCCCCAATAAAATTCCAGACTTGAACGCTTAGAGACCCTGCAGGGGAGGCTGGCTATGGAAGAGGCCTCTCTTGGTAGGCAATTAGCACCATTAGCGCAGGAAGCCCGAGGGCTGTTAAGTCAGACCTTACCAGCAGGGGGCTCTGTGGCAGCAGGGAAAACTCTGCTGCTTTCCAGGGACTAGGAGAGAGAATGTAACCTACTCTGGGGAACGAGAAGAGGGGGGGAAACAGTGCAAGGAAAATGGTATCATTGGAGCCAAGAATGCAGAATCTTCCTTAATTTGCTCTGTGACTTCAGGTCTCAGCCCAACTGTTTGAGGCTCCAGCTCTTGGCGTTCTGCAGAAGAGGAATAATGTGTTGTCACAATAGCATAATTTGCCCCTGCTGAAAAGCTGCTGATGTCCTTGTGTGAAACGCTAAAGGGAAACAAATCTTGGAGCAGTCTGGCTCAGAGCAGCTGAATGTATTCAAACTCCTGCAAACACTCATGCCTCAACGGGTCCGTTACGCAGGACGAAGAGCCTGGACCGAACACTCTCAGGTCTCCCTCCCTTTGCACAAACAACCCCTGTCTTTATCCTGCCACCATTGGGCCAGATCCTGAAGTGATGAGCATGTGCACTTCCCCCCGCAGTCAATGGGAGCTGCACATGCTCAGCGCTCATGGAGTTCAGCCCATTGAATCCCAAAATGGGATTATTGCCATTGAGATCCGTGGAAGGAGACTAGGGCCTATTTATGTTTGCCTGCTTCTGTTAAAGTTGAGTAGATAATCCATGTATTAATCTGGTTCAGCCAATAGGTATGGAGACAGGGGGCATCACACCAATGCCTTGGGTAAAAAATACAACTTTTTTGGCCATAAATCAAGACTATGCTACAGTTGATCAGAACCAGAAAATGATAAAGTGGGAGGGGAAAGACGCTTGCAGCTTTTCTCACATCTCCTGTCCCAGCTAAGTTTGCTTCAGATAAAAGAAGGGATAATGAGCAGGGGAATTTGGAAGAAATTAGATTATACAAATGCCTGGGTTTCCCGTAGCTCCTATAAATTGCATTGTTTATTGTGGATTTTCTTTTCTTCCTTTTCTCTTTTTGCTCCACGGGACTGCACAAGTGACAATGTTTTAAATGGAAAGATTTGCAGCAAGCCATCAATCACCATGCATGCAGGATATATCTTCTGGCTTAGTCTTGCTCATGCGTCTATAAATCAGCATAGCTGGAATATTTGTGGTTGTCTGTAGGAGATTTATGCAGGTGGGAGATTAGAACCAGTCTGTCATTTTTGTGGGGGAAGCACGAGATGGAAGGAGCTGGGGAATGCTAGCTCGCAGGAAGGATTTATGATAATGTCAGCGGATATTTAGGGGTTTCTTAGAGGGACAATTAGGAAAAAGTGTGTGTAGTATGCCTCTTTAACTTGGAATCAGGAGATGGTTGTTTAGATGCGTCGTTTTCAATGCGTCTAGTCAGAGAGAGAAGTTACATGGACATTTATCTTCTTAGGTCTGCCTGGTTTTGGTTTGTTCTTAAATTCAAAGCTTTTTGTTTATGGCTTATGCGTCCTTTTATGTATTTATTTTCATCTAGGCCCTAGTTGCAAATTAGCTTTATAGGTAACTATATCAGGTGAAGTAGTCCTTCTAGCCCATGTCTTGCTGGGTAATTATGTGGTGTAAATACATCTGTCTCGGACAGGAGAAAGGAAATGTGTCTCCTGTTACTGAGAGCAACTCCAGGCAAATTCTCAGCTGGTGTAAATCAGAACAGTTTAACTGACGTCAGTGGAGCTGTGTCATTTTACACCAGCTGAGGATCTGGCCCTCCATGCTTTGCTGAATTTCACATGTATAGTCTAAAAGGTCTTTTCCATCTCTGGTGTTCTATGATCTCAGAATAGAATAAGACACAAAATTAAAGAGAGTGGCCTATTTATTTTATGCAACCTTTGCAATTTCTAACCTTAGTTGGTTGCTGGCATCCTAGCGCCTTGTTGCTATAGGCCAGCAATCGCCCACCAAGAGCGCTGAGAGTTGAGTACCTGTGAGTGTCCGTTAGGCCTCTGCCTGTTAACCTTCCCTTTGCAGTCTCAGGCAAAGGGCAGGACTGACCTGTGCGAAGGTCATTGGTGCAGCTTCCCTCTTACCTCATATTTAATGAGATCAGCCCCATTCCTAATTGCTTCCGAGTATAGGCAAGTTGTAGTAGGTAGCTGGGGAGCTTGCAAAGCTCTGGCAGCCTGTAAAATACATTTTGGAATCCTAAAAAAAAAATGCTGCAAAATATATGGTGCCCAACAGGCTCCAGCCTCCTCTCCCTCTTTCTGGCAGAGTAAAAAATGTCTTTCTGCCTACATTGTTTGCACCTACCAGTTCCTCACTTCCCCCTTTCCTCTGTAGTTCAGACTGGGCTGTAACATGATATTGGCTGATCAGCTGCAGCCAGTCAGCCAGCCATGTGTGACTCCAGGAGACCTGTCTGCATCATCTGTTTCTGTGGCCTGACTGCCTGCTTCTTTCCTTCCAGCGCAAACAGGGTCCGAGGGAGGGGCAAACTCTCCCACAAGTCTCCCAAGAGCTACACATGGACCAGTGACACCAGAATCCAACCAGATGAAAAACTATCCTCTCAGTCCATTGAGCCAAAATGCTGGTCTTGAATATTTTCCTAATTGGGGAGGGATGCTTTCCCAGTCGTTTTAAGAGCAAGAAAATCTCCACGGTAAGAAACGTTAACTCCTTTATCACAGTGCCATTTTCCATGCTCTGTCATAAACTATCAGGGCTTTTTATTAAACATAAGTAAAAAATGCTTTCCAGTGATGTCAAGAGCCTAATGTGAAGAGACATTGACACTACTAGTTAGGTCAGATTTTGATATGTCTTTTTCTCCTTTATTCCCCTTTGCTGAGTCCCTAGAACTGTTTGTAACATTAGAGACAAACTAAAACCACTAACACTTTCGACAGCAGAAAAGTCAATGAGTAGGGATGGTTGAAATTTTCTGTTGAAACTTTTTTGATAGAAAATTGGATTTTGACAATATTAAATATATCTGTGTTCCATGGGAAAAAATGTGGGGGGGGGGGGTTGGTCAAAATATTTTGGCAAAAAACAAAATATTTCAGACAAAAAACTTTGTTCTAGGCCTTAAAATTTTATTTTTTGAGTTTTAGCCAAAAACTTGAAAATGTCCATGGAAAATTTCACTTTCATTGAAAATTTCCTACAGGAAAACAATATCAATGACGGCAATCTAGTGCTGCTTATTAATAATACTATAAACAAGCCTACAATAACAAACCAGTGTGTGCATGCCAAACAGAAGAAAGCAATTTTGGGGGGCAAATTATCAGCGTTTATGTTCAAATTTCCAAGGCATTAACGTTAAAGATAGATCTGAGCAGCAAAGTCCAGTTCTGAACTTCCACAGCCTGTAGAGGGGTTTGGATCCAGGGTTTTAGCTCATCCCAGTATAAACACCCAGGCATGACATTTGGATCAAAATGCAAACTTTCCCCAAGTGAGCATGGGTGTTTGGATCTCAGACTTCAGTTCAGGGCTTAATCTCCAATTACCCTGAAACATGGTAGGTTTAGCTGTCAGAGATTCATGCAAACCACCTCTTTGGTTTTAATCCATTCAGAGTCCTTCCATCCCTGAGTCTTGAGTTTAAATTAACCCTAAACATTCACAGTGAAGCTTGGTTAAAAGCAAATAAGTTTTAAAGCATGAGTCCATGGAAGATGGTAAAAAGGCATAGGTGTGTGCGACAGGATGACAAACTGCAGGATGAGTTACAGATCCCCAGCTCGGGTGAGTTTCCAGCGCTAGCAGATTTCATAATGAAAGCTTCACACTGCTCCATTTATTAACAGTCAGTTATAACTAAACCATTAGCATTTTTACAGCATCTCCATTATCTAATTATCACTCCCCGCATGCCTGCAGGGTAGGTCTGTAATATTTTTCCCTGAGGCACTAGTAGAGGCCCTGATTCTGTAATTGACTCCATGTGCGCGCATCCATGTGCCTGCATGAAATCAAATGGAGGATCTTGCCTAAGTGACTTGCCTCAGGTCACACAACAGTGCAGAGCACTCTTAAGATTTGTCTACACTGAGGTCTTGTCTACACTGGAAACGCTACAGCAGCCTACTGCTGTCTGCGCCGGGGTTAGGTCAGTTTACCTATGTCACTCATGGGTGTGGATTTTTCACATCCTGTGCAACATAGCGGGGTCGTCTTAAACTTTGCTTGTAGACCTGGCCTCAAGAAAATTAATCCAAATTAACTGAAGGTCTGAATTTAAAGTGTATCAATTAAATCACATTAAAACTCCTGTGGTAGATGCTCTTAGAATGAAAGAGTGGCTTGTTGAATTCAATTTAGTTGGCAGTGAATTGAATTAAATTGAATGAAGGCCACTTGAATTCTGAACAAGAACATTGAAACGGGGTTTAATGTGGTTTAACTAATGCACTTTATAAATTAATTTGGATTAGTTTTCTTATGAGTCTCCATGAAGACAAACACTAAATCGCAGACCACTGCTCAGACCACTAGACCACACTTCACTGAATTGATTGCACAGTTGTCCCATTTTTAAAATAATCTTTGAAAAACTATTTTGAGTCCAGAAACTGCTAATTTTGTGGAAAACTATTTACTGTGTCTTCACAGTAGCAGCCTCCACTACTGCCCACACTACTCCACCACCTCAAATTCAAGCAGTGTACCCAACTTTTATTGCTCGGTCCATGATAATTGGTGCGTTGCTTAAAACCCCAGCTCCTGGAGTCATGATTATGTGAGAATCTCACCTTTTGTTTTAAAAAAGTAAGTTTCTAGACCTCTCCTGCTGGTAATAGCTCACCTTACCTGATCACAGAGGGCTACAGAGGGCCCTAGACAAATTAGAGGATTGGGCCAAAAGAAATCTGATGAGGTTCAACAAGGACAAGTACAGAGTCTTGCACTTAGGACGGAAGAATCCCATGCACCGCTACAGACTAGGGACTGAATGGCTAGGCAGCAGTTCTGCAGAAAAGGACCTTTTAACCAGAAAAGGGGTTATAGTGGACAAGAAGCTGGATATGAGTCAACAGTGTGCCCTTGTTGCCAAGAAGGCCAATGGCATTTTGGGATGTATAAGTAGGGGCATTGCCAGCAGATCGAGGGACGTGATCATTCCCCTCTATTCGACATTGGTGAGGCCTCATCTGGAGTACTGTGTCCAGTTTTGGGCCCCACACTACAACAAGGATGTGGAAAAATTGGAAAACGTCCAGGGGAGGGCAACAAAAATGATTAGGGGACTGGAACACATGACTTATGAGGAGAGGCTGAGGGAACTGGGATTGTTTAGTCTGCAGAAGAGAAGAATGAGGGGGGATTTGATAGCTGCTTTCAACTACCTGAAAGGGGGTTCCAAAGAGGATGGATCTAGACTGTTCTCAGTGGTAGCAGATGACAGAACAAGGAGTAATGGTCTCAAGTTGCAGTGGGGGAGGTTTAGGTTGGATATTAGGAAGAACTTTTTCACTAGGAGGGTGGTGAAACACTGGAATGCGTTACCTAGGGAGGTGGTGGAATCTCCTTCCTTACAAGTTTTTAAGGTTGGGCTTGACAAAGCCCTGGGTGGGATGATTTAGTTGGGGATTGGTCCTGCTTTGAGCAGGGGTTTGGACTAGATGACCTCCTGAGGTCCCTTCCAACCCTGATCTTCTATGATTATATGATCACTCTTGTTACAGTGTGTATGGTAACACCCATTGTTTCATGTTCTCTGTGTATATAAATCTCCCCACTGTATTTTCCACTGCATGCATCCGATGAAGTGAACTGTAGCTCACGAAAGCCTATGCTCAAATAAGTTTGTTAGTCTCTAAGGTGCCACAAGTACTCTTTTCTTTTTTCTAGACCTTGTGGTTGCCAACAAAAATGTGACCAAAGTGTACCCTGAAGGCTGAGAAGCCAGAAGGCAAATAAAAGGACCAACATTTTATTTTTAATCTCATGATTTTTAAGCCATTCTCATGGGGAAGTTTGAGGCTTGACTTGAGAATTTTGATACTTGAGGTTAGTGCTACTGTACTGTACTGTGTAGCCTGGTGGTGACTCAAGAGACCTGCATTCTCTTACCAGCTCTGCTATTGCGTGACCTTGGACAGGTCACTTCCCTCCTTGGGCCTCAATTTTTACCATCTGTAAAATGGGGATAATGTGAGTGAACTCCTTTGTGAAGCATTCTGAAACCTATAAGAGTTAGGTATTATTATTACAAGCTTCTGGTCCTTCCCTTTCACTAGACCAGTGGCAAATACTGCATTTTAAAAATTGTGTTCTTTGCACACATTTTGAACTTATTTACCCCTTTCGCAAAGGGTAAAGAAGTGCTTTGTGGTAATAGAATGGTTTTCACCTGGTAATTCCCTCCCCCCCCACAAAAAAATCCCAAATTGAATCAACAGAGCTGTGTTTGCAAATACCTCATGAAAATTAAAACAAAGGTAAACCTGTTAAATTAAGTTATTAAGACAAACACCTGATGTAAATAATGGCACCTTTATTGGATTTTGTGTTGCCTTTTTTTTTTTAATTATTAACTTTTTCCCTGGCTGGAGCCTAATCTTCCTCATTCTCAACAGTAAAGCTTAAGTGATTAACCAAACTGATATCTCTTCATAAACCTGAAATAGGTTGCAAACGGAAAACCAGTGAAATGTATTAACTCCTGACCCTTTACAAGGGTCCCATCAATTGCATAGCAACGTGTGCTGTCACAGACAGCTGAGGAAAGGGCTGGCGTGCCTGATTAATTGGCTTAGCTCACACGGGTAGATGTGGCACTCATCAATAAAAAGGTATATTGGACGAACTCCAGAAGTGCAGATCTGTAACAGGAAAGGCCAGTCTCCATGAACATTTTCTTGTAATATCAAATAAAATAACAACGTTATGATGTGAATAGCTCCCCCTTCAATCCACATGGTTGAGTGTAATCTGTTATTATTAGGGTAATGCCTAGAGATCCCAGCCAGGATCAGAGGCTCATTGTGCTAGGGGCTGTACAACATATAGTAAGAGATAGCTCCTGCCCCAAGTTCTTACAGTTTCAGGCCCTGATCCTGCAAACAGATATGCACATACTTAACTTTGACATCAGTGAGACTACTCACATGCTTAAAGTGAAGCATGTGTGTCAGGCTTAGTCTACACTTGAAAGTTATATTGGCAGGGCTACCTCAGTCAGGGATGTGACAAAACACTCCCTTGACTAGTGTAGCTATGCCAACCTAATTCTCAGTGTAGATGCAGCTATGTCAACAGAAGAATGTGTCCATTGAGGTAGCTCTCATTCAGGGAGCTAGGGTTCCTTCACTGACAGAAAAACCCCTTCTGTTGGTGTAGGCTGCGTCTACAGAAGGGGACTTTCTGGCATAGTTATGTCGGGGCTGGTCTAGCCCTGGTCTACACAAGAAAATTAAGTTGGCTTCACGATGTCGCTCAGGGGTGTGAAGGTAAGCCAACCTAACTCGCAGTCTAGACAGTGCTAGTTCAATAAAAAAAAATTTCTGTTGACCTAGCGACCACCTCTCAGGGAGGTGGATCACCTATGCCAATGGAAGAACCGCTCCCATTCGCATAGGTGGTGTCTACACTGAAGAGTTACAGCAGGACACCTGTGGTGCTGAGGCACTTCAAGTGTAGACGAGCCCCTGTGCGGAAAGGTTACATCGGCATAGCTACTGAAAAGTCCACCCCCCCTTAGCAAGGGAGCTGTGCTGACCTAACCCCCGGTGTTGACAGTTCTACACAGAAGCACTGCAGTTGTGCCACAATAGCGTTTTAAGTGTAGACGTAGCCTCAGCGTCTGCCACACTGGGGCCTAAATAGGCAAGAGAGACGCAGGCTGGGAGAGAGACGGTATCGTTATCCCTCTTTTGAAAATGGGGAAGCTGGGGCATTGAGAGGTTGAGTGACTTGCTCAGGGACAAGCAGCAAAGCCAGCATTTGATGCTAAGTCTCCTGAGACCCAGTCGGTGTCTAAACAACAAGCCTGTCCTTCCTCTTTATTCTGTTTATTAAATGCTTTTCTGTATTGCCCAGCACTGCAGTGTCTACTTGCTGAACAAGTAAATTAGCCCTGTATGGTAGTATCCAAAGAGACTTCCTAGAGGATCCTGCTCCAAACTATTTTTTGAAATGATGCTGTCATAAATATAAAGAGAAGGATAACCACCTTTCTGTATACAGTGCTATAAAATCCCTCCTGGCCAGAGGCAACATCCTCTTACCTGTAAAGGGTTAAGAAGCTCAGCTAACCTGGCTGGCACCTGACCCAAAGGACCAATAAGGGGACAAGATACTGTCAAATCTTGGGCGTGGGAGGCTTTTATTTTGTGCTCTTTGTTTACGTGTTGTTCTCTCTTGGGACTGAGAGAGGCCAGACAGAAATCCATCTTCTCCAACCCATCCTAATCCAAGTCTCCAATATTGCAACCAGTATAGGTAAACCAGGCAAGGCGGATTAGTTTATCTTTTGTTTTATGTGAATTTTCCCTGTGTTAAGAGGGAGGTTTATTCCTGTTTTTTTTTCTCTCCTGCTGGTAATAGCTCAACTTACCTGATCACTCTTGTTACAGTGTGTATGGTAACACCCATTGTTTCATGTTCTTTGTGTATATAAAATCTCCCCACTGTATTTTCCACTGCATGCATCTGATGACATGAGCTCACAAAAGCTTATGCTCAAATAAATTTGTTAGTCTCTAAGGTGCCACAAGTCCTCCTTTTCTTATTCCTGTTTTCTGTAACTTTAAGGTTTTGCCCAGAGAGGGATCCTCTGTGTTTTGGATCTGAATACCCTGTAAAGTATTTTCCATCCTGATTTTACAGAGGTGATTTTTACCTTTTTTTTTTTTTAAATAAAATCCTTCTTTTAAGAACCTGACTGATTTTTCCATTGTTCCAAGATCCAGGGGTTTGGGTCTTTGATGATTTTGTAACCAATTGGTTAGGATATTATTCTCAAGCCTCCCCAGGAAAGGGGGTGTGTAGGGCTTGGGGGGATATTTTGGGGGTGAAGACGTCTCCAAGTGGTCTCCTTCCCTGTTCTTTGTTTAAAATGTTGGTGGTGGCAGCATACTGTTCAAGGACAAGGCAAAGTTTCTACCTTGGGGAAGTTTTTCACCTTAACTGGTAAGAATAAGCTTAGGGGGTCTTTCATGTGGGTCCCCACATCTGTACCCTAGAGTTCAGAGTGGGGAAGGAACCCTGATATGGTGGCAGAGCGGTGGGATCATTTTGAACCAAAGATCATTTTGAACCAAAAGCACAGACCTGTAGAGGTTTTTTTTTTTAAGCTGAGAGCAGCTAGAGGGTTTTCTATCTATTTGCTTGGAGACAGCGGTGTTAGTTTTCTTACAAAGGGATTTTTCTTTTTTGAGCTGGAGTTTTCTCTACCTAAAGGCAGGGTAGTTAACCTCCTGCAGGGAAATTCACAAGTTTTTTTTTTTTTTCCCCTGACTCTTGGGTATAGCTAGAGTTAAGCACAAGAAAGCAGGAAAATGACTACCAGTGAAGCAGCTAATAAACTAGAGCTGGCCAGATTCGAAGCTGAAGAGAAACAAAAAGAAAGGTAAAAATCATCTCTGTAAAATCAGGATGGAAAATACTTTACAGGGTATTCAGATCCAAAACACAGAGGATCCCCCTCTGAGCAAAACCTTAAAGTTACAGAAAACAGGAATAAGAAAAGGAGGACTTGTGGCACCTTAGAGACTAACAAATTTATTTGAGCATAAGCTTTCTGGAGCTACAGCTCACTTCATCGGATGCATGCAGTGGAAAATACAGTGGGGAGATTTTATATACACAAAGAACATGAAACAATGGGTGTTACCATACACACTGTAACAAGAGTGATCAGGTAAGTTGAGCTATTACCAGCAGGAGAGAAAAAAAACAGGAATAAACCTCCCTCTTAACACAGGGAAAATTCACATAAAACAAAAGATAAACTAATCCGCCTTGCCTGGTTTACCTATACTGGTTGCAATATTGGAGACTTGGATTAGGATGGGTTGGAGAAGATGGATTTCTGTCTGGCCTCTCTCAGTCCCAAGAGAGAACAACACGTAAACAAAGAGCACAAAATAAAAGCCTCCCACGCCCAAGATTTGACAGTATCTTGTCCCCTTATTGGTCCTTTGGGTCAGGTGCCAGCCAGGTTAGCTGAGCTTCTTAACCCTTTACAGGTAAGAGGATGTTGCCTCTGGCCAGTAAGGATTTGTATACAGAAAGGTGGTTACCCTTCCCTTTATATTTATGACAGATGCTTAGAATGATTTGTCCTTGTCTACTCTTGCAGCCAAATCATGTTTAGCGCCACTTCAGCTGCACCCATTCTGAATCACTGTATATTGGTAGTGTAGGCAAGGCAAAAATATCTCCACTGTCCTCTTTGTAAGTGCGGATAATAATACTTACCATGCCCTCCCAGGGGTGCTGACGGGTTTCATCAGAGTGTGGAAAGCACATTGTGATCTGGAGATGGAAATGGGCCAGGATGGGCAGAGTACGGTGTTGAGTGACCTCGCCGTCTTCTTTCTGGGGGTTAGCACAAGCCGTCAGAGTCCCTGGAATGATGACCCAGGCAGGAGCTCAGTGACAACAGGACATGTGTTTATCGCTGTAAGAGGGGGACAGAAGCAGCTCCCCTCCTGCTGCTGGTGCTGCTGACTTCCCTCCCTCCACTTTCCTCCCAGGGTCACTTGCTACGTCAGGGCTCCTTCCCCCCAGAAGGAGCTACACCCTTTAGGGACTGTCTGTGAACGTGCCACACGCAGACCCAGCCAGCACCAGGACTCTGTTACAATAGTAGAGCCCAAACGAGGGAGGGGGGGAGCCCCCCAACATTGCACTCAAACATGGTCTCTCCTCCCACTAGCTCAGCCATGGCTAGTGGTTTTGCTTTGGCTCTGTGCAGGAATAATAACAGAACTTCGTCTAAAAGAAAAGGAGTACTTGTGGCACCTTAGAGACTCCTTGGAGACTCCGCAGGTGACGTGCGCACGTCCCTCATCCACTTGATGCTAATAGCCACTGTTGCTTATTTTGCCAGATACATCTCCCCCATCCCCCAAAAAAGAAGAGCTGAAGGAATGTAGTGCCCAGGAAAGTTAGCAGCTCATTTACACTTTAAACATTACAAGACAATAAACCTTAATTGTCTCATCACAGCATTTGAAAATGTTATGTCAGTGGGTTTTTTTTTAAAGGAAGTATTTCTGTTCCAGGAAATAATTGATCCCAGAAAAAGCCACTATCTTGGAAAGTGAAAAAGGTAAGATGAGCCATCCCCTGGGGTGGACCTATTCCTGATCTGTGCTGGTGGAAATGAGATCACCATCAGCCCTGGTTCTGATATAAGGAAATACTGCAGAGGAGTCAAACGAAGAGTGATTCCCTAACCCCAAAACCTCAGTAGGTGGGCTCTCATTGCCAGAGAAAGGGAGATGATTTGGATCTAGGCCACATTTTCTGCACGCTCCCAGAGCTCAGGATGGTTCAGCTCAGTGTTATTAGTGCTATTGTTTATTCATATTAGAGGAGGGCCTAGGAACTCTGACCAAGGATCCCTACACTGTGGTAGCTGCTGTACAAATGAGTAACAAGTGAGACAGTCCCTGCCCCAGAAAGCTTGTAATTTCAATCCATCTCTGGCTGATACCTGGGAAAATGGATGTTACAGAATAATGGCAGATAGAAAGGTCTGGGACCAGGAGCGGTTTTACCATGAAACAAACCATGCAGTGGCAATGACAGGGGGCCCCCCAAAATGCAGGACAAATATCTGACAACCTGCCCCTAAGTCCCAGCCTTTAAATACTGTGTGTATGAGCCTCTTGGGCATCTTTATCTTGTGCCTCCTTTCTCTTTCACATGTGCCTATCGCTTTGGTATCTGGGCACCAGCAAAATGACATAGGACTTCAATCTTTCAGCAGGACTATGTTCTTCTACTACTGTTTTATCTAGGTACTTATGTTACCCTCCTCACCAAATTACCTGCGCATCTTACCCAGGCAACACCTCTGGCAGATAGCAAACTAATATCTCCATTGTACAAATAGCAGCACAGGGTAGATAGATTAAGTAATTTACCCATTATCTCCTGGTGAAATCAAGATTTGAGCTCAGATTACCTGAGTCTGCATCCAGTGCCTGACTCAGCAAACCATCCTGTATGCCCTGGACTAGCCCTGTTATTTAGGGGTGTTATATATAATTCTGTGACTGCTTTGGGCCCAGAACTGTTCCCAGTATCTGGATACCTTCTTTTTGCCAAGCATGCCTTTCTGAGCCTGACCTTTTAAATCTGGCGGAGCTAAGCTACTGTAGCCCTAAAGTGACCATTTTAAAGTCACTGCTGCTGCTCCTCTGCCATATCTAGTAACTCCTGTTTTGATTTCCCTGTCTTATTCTAGAGGAGAAAGCACATTCCCACAATGCTGCTGAGAATGCTGGGATTTGTCCTGCAAACTGTTTATCTGAAGCACTGGAGCAGATCGCATTGTTTATCTTGTGATGTTTATAGAGAGATGGCTGGGAAATTGGGCTAGAACTCGCATGCGAGCAGGTTTTCAGTAAGATTTTGGGTGCTTCTTGCTCCAAACTGGACCAGGATGCCTTTCTGGTGATATTTTGCTACTTTTGCTTGCACTCCTGGTGTACTTAAGCTAGCACTGTAAACCGGAACATGTCTTTTGCTGTGGTGCTAAATGATGTAACAGCAAAACTTTCTCCTAGTGAGTGTGAAAGGAAATCCCAATAAATCTATCTCTTCCTTTTTCCCCCATTTCACTCTTCATGCCTTCTTCACCTTTTGGGAATGTGATAATGCTGCCGAACAGACTTTAGCTGGATTGTTTACAAGGCGTTTATTTTAAATTTGTGATGGGTGGGCAGGTGCTCAGGTGGGTGTAATCATAGGTGATTCCATACTCAGACACTGCCTCTGATTGAGGGAAGTAGTTCTGATCTTGTTGTTTTTGCTGAAGAACATTTAAAATGAAAGGGAACAGCCATCCATTCACTGCAAGTTGAAATGCAAACCATCAGTCATCTATATAATCTATAATGTAACATAAATACCCTATATAGTGCATTATAGTATGTATGTATATGCTCACCTTAGCTGGCAGTGTATGTGTGATTTGTATATAAAAGTAAAATCACTGGTGAATGAAACTTCCATAATATGTAACTTCATATATATTCCCATCTAAGGGGTATGTGTGGGTATATAGATATAGACATGTGTGTAGCCATATAAATGGCACACACACACACACACACATATGTAAGATGGGGCTATGTGTGTGTATCGATAGATGAAGTTATGTATTATGAAAGTTTTGTCCTCGGATGATTTTTATTTTTCCACAAATAGTGAGTGAAGAGCTATTTTAACATTGAAAACCATGTAGAATTTTAGCCTGGTTTTGAGACAAAGCTCAAAAAGGAGCCTTCATTCAGAAAATAACCCAAATGCAATGACTCTGCTGTGAAAGCAGAACCACCTTTGGGATTTGCAATGCAAAAAGCATGAATGCTATGTTATTTCACGTGTCCTTGTGAATTTTATGCACACATCTACTATATAGTTAGGCTTCTCTCTATAGTCCCAGCCAAGAAGATGCCTTTCAAAGAAAACTGGGGTTAAATAGGGAAGACATCCAATCACTATCCACAGTGACAAAGAGTAAAATCACTTCAAATGCGATTCAGGATATTAAATATAATTAACAATCCAATAGGAAAGTAGCATCTTGCCATTATGATGATGATGATGATGATGATATTGTTTGTTATTTTTATTGTAGCGCCTACAGGCTGTACTCTGGGAGCAGAGCCCCATTGTGTTAGGTGCTGTACACACACCTAATAAAAACAGTTCCTGCCCCAAAACATCTGACAGTTTAGTTCCTACAAATTAATTGGCCTGAGCTCAACCCCCTGCATTCACATGGGGTTCCAGGTAGGTGTAGGGAGATGATGGGCAGATCCATTTGCAAGATCTAGCCGTTGGTATCTGATGAGAGAATGAACAAATGGGGCAGAGGAGGAGTGTTGATGCAGAGTAGGACTGAAGGAATCCGCTTTGCCGTGTAGTTGTCAGAACATTTCAAAGCTGTTGTAACCCTGTGTCCTCTCGAATGACTTTTAATTTATTACCTTGACTATAATTGCTGCAGGGATGCTAGAGGGCAGCTGTTTGCTGACCTCCTCTTACGATTCCCTTCATAGATAGGGGGTTGTTTGATTTATTAATATAAATTAGAGATGGACATTCCCGTCTTTGGATCCCAAGAGTGGCAGGTTGGATTCAGGGGACTTGGCTTGGGCCCATCTCTGGTGTGATCTTAAACCAATAACAAAGAAGGGGGGTAATAAATGGGTCTGAGTGATTCTGGGAAACAAGACCAGCTGATGTGTTTAGAGAGTACGGTGCTCCGATAATAGGGCAAGGCTGGAAAGCAGGACATGTAATTGAGACACTGGAGAGGTAAACGCTCTAATGATGGGAACCGCACGCTCGCGGGAGGTCTCTCCCCCTGAGCACAAGCTGCTTTTCAGCTCCTTCAAAACAAGACATCAAGCAGATGCCAGTTTCCATGGTGACAGTTACACTCCTGTGCTAATGCTGTGACCTCAGTGATTACACCAGACCTAGTTTAAAAAAAAAAAAAACAGCCGGAGTTGGGTCAGATGCCAGCGTCCACTTGAGAGCTGCAAACTCTGCTGTTGTTTGACGGGAAGGAGCAGCTTTAAGCTCTGCTAGATGGCTGCTCCAGAAGCCTAATAGAAAATTGTCCCAGTCCCATCTCTGCACCATTCAGCCTCCACTCTGGGGGAAGATAGTTGCCCTCAGAAAGCCCTCCTCACAAAACACTTTCCTGCTGTATCCTAGGCAAGAAAACAGGTAGCTTTCCAAATAACTCACTTAGGGCTTCATCTGCAGCACCCTGAACTATATGGGAGCCTTTCCAGAACCTTCAGTAGGCCTTGACTCAGGCCATGAGAACAGAGTTTGGCCCATTCCATGAAGAGTTAGGTAAAGCTGCCATAGCATTTAAAGCCCCAAGTCTCACAGAAGAAAGTTACATGGTTTTGATATGAACTCAAATTGTGGCCTAGTTCAATCAGATAGGTTCACCAGGTTTTACAAACATTTCTGATGAGCATTAGCCCTGTTTAAGGGGAATACCTTGCAGGCGGGGCAGATGCTGAGGGAATAGCGATTGTTTCATTGGAAAGCATGAGAAACCACAGAGGTTTTGCTTTGAATTTTAAGGTTTGTTCACAACAGCTGTGGGAAACAACCCCCCTGATAACTGAACCCCATGTAGCCTGAATATGTAAAACAGCAAATGCAAGCGTCTCAGTGCTGGGGAAATGAAAGAGGCTGATGTTCTATATTTCACTAGGTAACGGACGCAGTTCTTTAGTGCAATTTGTACCCAAGCACAGAGAGGCTGTCAGGTGATGGAAAGGAAGGGACAACTGCTTCCTCTTAGCCCTGGGGCTTGGAAAAAGAAAGGCATGTCGACTGAAATTTTCAAAAGTGGGGACTAATTTGGGTGTGTCCAACTTGAAAAACCTTGAGCCTGATTGTCAGGAAGTGCTGAGCCCCTCCATCTCCCATGGATCTCAGCTAGCACTAGCCTGTGGGGATCCAGCACCTCAGCATGTCAGACCAAAGGTATCGCAAGCTCAGGACCTCTCCAAATTAAAGGCATCTATATTCAGCGTCTGGGGCTGCTGCCGGGAGTCAGTGCTGCTAGTCTCATGACAGTTATTGTTTTCCTTAAAGCCCCAGCTCCTGGAGTCAAGTGGAGATGTGATGATATCAGCCTTCATCCTTAAAGAAAAAGGAAGTTTCTAGCCCTTGTGGCTGTTGAGAAAGCTTCAAAATGTGACCCCAGTGCACAATAAAGGCTCAAAAAGCATCATTATTTTAAAGCCAATCTCATGATTTTTGAACATTTGGGGTTGGCAGTCCTGTTGTAGGGGCTTTATAAAATGTGAGTTCTCATATCCTCCTATAGACGTGCAAATAAGTTGGGAAATCTGTGCACCTCCCAGTAAAGCAAAGGTTGTGTGGGTTGCAAACAAAGCCTGGAACAAACATTGGCGAAACAAAATGAGGCTGGCACCACCTTTTTGACCAGGAGGTTTTTCTCAAAATCAGTCTGTAAATTCAGAGGAGGAGGAGCTGGGCAGGGAGAGAGCTCCTAGCTCTTAGAAAGCCTCACGACTGGTAGCCACACACGTGCATAAG